CTCCTTTCCGATTTTAGAATTGAGGAGACAACGAATTAAATAGCAACGTTCTTTGAATACGCGAAAATTTTTCACTACATAATACAGAAACATTAAGTAACATTAAGATGTAAAATTACCTGTAAATAGATTTCTACAAACGTACACAATGTTTAAAGGATAAATGTATCAGGGATGATACAATCGATACAAATGTAAAGACAACGACATATTCATTTATAGCAGTAAATTCAATGAATCAGTTCTGGCTCCAGACTGGTGATTCCTTCAAACTATTAAAATATGTTTGCTAATCCAGTTACTCAACTGATACTACGATTGTGGTTTAAATTAAGACATCGGTCAAGTAAATGTCAACCATTGACAAAGAATATCATCGAAAAGTTGGAATTACGGTCCACTGAGCAAATGACATGAAATGTACCAAAAGATTAATGTCCTGACAAGAGATTTTTCTAGAGAGGAAACTAAATCAGCTCTTGAAAAGAAGCAAGAGCCTTTGTTAGATATTCATAAGAAAATCATTATTTTTCCAAGCTCTTGCACGTCTATTTAAGAGCCTTCGTTTCCTTGTTTATCAAATCAACATTTTGTTTGTCGACAGTCGAGTCATGATTCTTGACTATTGATCGATGATTCTTCTTGATTTGTTGCATCAGGCGAAATGTTTTACAAGAATAGTCGATTCAATGATTTTTTTTAGCAAATAGTTGTGACTTACTGGAAAAAAAATAAGAAAAATGTAAACATGCGAAATATGTACAAATGCTTGAATTTTAAACTGGAAAAGTGTAGATTTGATTCTTTATGTAGATATTACGAAGTTCTTTTATTAAATTTAGGAGGTTCTGGTTTTATTTTTAAAAATGATTAATAAAATACAAAAAAAGAATGAATTCAAAGCATTTAATCAAGAACTTGTTTTATTTTTTCAGATTATAAAAAAAATGAATTATATTTTTAATTAATCTCAGTCATGAAATACTGGATATCTAAAAAAACACCATTTTCCCTTTTTTAAAAAACATTTACAAGGTATTTTTAGTTTCAAATCTTGTTCTCTCATTTTTTTGACAACATCATGTTATTAATATTTATCTGTATACTTTAGAAATCATTCCTAAAATTTAAGCATTAACGAAAATCTTAAGTTTTAATGGTTGATATTTATTGTTAAAGGCACTTCTGAAGCAGGGTATGTCATAACTACCACCTAGCTTTTTCAAAACTCCATCAAGACCTTTTTCAGAAAATAAATAGTTTATGTGACTTTACGGTCAGATCCTTTTAGGGGCCTTAGCTTGTAGGCGAATTCTAAATGTATATTTTTGGATACCACCACTTCGGCTATACCATACCCTGCGTGAGAATCCCCGTTACAGTTCTAAATGCATGAGCACGCTTTAAAATCTTTTTTATACAATGACGCATTATTGAAACTATGATGAAGAAAGATGATATTTAAGTAATTTAATAGAAACAGTATTTATATATTTTTTTAGAGTATTTTCAGATGAAGAAAGTCTCTTTGACGGAATGATGAAGAGTATAATAGCAAGTATGATTTATCTACTGAAATATATCCAGATAATTAAATTGAGGGAGATATTATAGTTCATGTGATAAAATGACCATAACATATTCAATGGCTAGAAAATGTAATCGTTAGTCTATGACAATATTTTTTGTGCTGTTGAACGTAAGACAATAAATGCGCAAATTATTTTGTTAAGTAGTCAAACACACCAACTAAACATCGAAATGTGTTTTAGCTCAATAATTTTTTTAACTACCCCGCATATTAAAATGCATTTAAAACTTATGTTAATAATTGTTAAATAATTAATTAATGTCCAATTAAAGTTTAAATAATTATGTTATGTCTTTCTAGTGTTGAGTCTTTTGATAAGATTCAAAACAAAAAACAATTACTGCGTTCATTCACTTCCATTCTACGTAGCAAAAAACTTAGGAGTTTGTATTAATATTTGTAGAACTGTACTTGCTATAACTCAATTTAGTAACTTTCATAAAATCAAAATATGTCTGTGACACATTGAGCTAAAATTTCTAAATCGTTGAAGCAATTGTTATCAGATCATGAGGACGGCATGTAATACTACAACCTCCAAATTACCCATTATCTGAAGGAAAGTCAATAAAATTCATTCGAATTGAAAGCAAAGAAGTTGTCATTAATATGTCTGGTAGCTATGACAAGAATGTTGACATTGTGACTACTTTTATGAAAGTCACGCATTAGGAGTGTCAATCAGATTACCTAAATTTCTAAACATTATTACAAAGAGTTGTCATGTGTAACCGGAGCCTGAAAAAAATACTTTTGAGATTTGCACACGCTTATGCATGCCTTGTCATCTAAGGTAAATACACGTAATACAGCACTTTTAAAAATTAAAACAGTCCTATTTTGATTTATTATTATTGTAGTAACAAAACCTTTAGACTTGGAATTGATCAACTTTTAATCGATTTACTATATACACACAAGTTTTGTGTGTCAGTGAAATTATAAAGAAAAATAAATAAACCTCGAAAGAATGTTTTTTTTTCTATTCTTCAGGATCAATATGTGATCGTGGTAGCCTAGAGTTCAAAGTAACGGACTCATGACCGGTGTGTGATGTATAAACCTAGTACCACTGGAAACCCGCCGTGTAGGAGAGCGATGCACGTTCTTTGTGGTTCTGTTGGGGACGCGGACCATTACGTGTTTGCATGTACTCTGACTAAGGATTTCCATTTGGTTTCTCCATCTGAAAATGCTAAAGAAGCCTGGTTACAATCTGTCGTTAAAAATCATTCCATTCACTCTAAACTAATATCATGTATTAAAATTGCCTCTTCAATCCGGGATTAAATTCCTTAGATAGGATTACATTGGTACTCCTTTGTGGTCACAAGCGGTTTTTTTTTCATCTCTCCTTCCCTACTCGTGGATTACAATTTTAGTATGTTTTGTGGTTATTTTCTTGGCGTGTTTTAGCACAAAAAAAAATCTATACAAAAAAAGTAATCTTCCTTCCGATGCTGTGAATCATTTTCTTTTCATTAAACTGAAGGATTTTTTAAACATTATTATTTTTGCTTCCTGTCTTTTTTTTGTTTGGTCTTTTTGGTGCATTTGTCTCGGATAATTTTATTATTTGTTATGTTTTTGTGAGAAAACTGGAATTTTGTTAAAAGAGAGAGAGAGAGAGAGTAAACTTTGATTTTTTACAATAAAGACTGGACGTGAGGGTGATTGTTTCCCAAGGGATAGGATTGTAGCTCTAAGCCCTCTTCGGGTGAGCTCAGTTTCTCTGGGCATTCATCATTATCCCGTTGGTGTGGTGTGGATGTTAGGAGACGCAATGCTAGCCCAGGTTTCATCATCGTCACTTGACCATGGTTCAAAATTACGAGGTCCATCGCAAAAGCTCTCGAGTATATATATATATATATATATATAGCTGAACAGTACGACGTTAATATTCACTCACTCACTCTATAATGGATAAACACATTTGAAATGATAATCTTCACGTCATTTGAACTACTATTTGGACGTGAAACTAATGTTTTGAGCTGCTCAGGGGTCCAGCACACTGGACCCTTGAGCAGCTCAAAACATTAGTTTCTGTGAACCTATAAAATATTATTAAAAAAATTCTTTTCATACATAATTTAATGACATAATACGTGAGCTTTGAATTTGAAATTATAATTGTTCCATAGGAATACAAAATTTATGCAGAATTGTATATATAAGTTTCGTATATATCATATTTTACTTTCTGCTCCTCACTAATACTTGTATTACAAGTAAAATTAAGAAACACACAAAATATTTCATCAACATTGCATGAAGTATGGCAGGGTGATGTATTGTAAATAAATAAAAAATATTCTCGTAGATAAATAATTCTCTTTTTGCTCTTCTTTCTCTAACCTACCCTTCCTTCTTTGGATCAAGGAACCCTTCTATGTAATAATCTCTCTACCTCTCTGAACTCTTCCATTATTATTTGCCTGTGTGCGGACAAAATTTTGAGAGTTCTTTTTCTCGTATCTGTCGAAATCAGAGTAAGAAAGGGAGTTTTTCAAAATAGCACTTCAGAACTCTCGATTTTTTTTCTTTCCTCCCATGCCCCTCGAGGGTATTCGTTATCGTTTTCAAGAAGGATTCTTTATTTTTTTGCCCTTTCTCCTTTCCCACGCGAAATTGATCCCACCCTTTTCCAGAAGCTCCCAGGAAAATTGGTTGGATAGATCCCCAAGGGAAGCATTCTCGCGAAATCTGCATGAGTTTTACTTAGGAGTGGATCTGCGCACTCATGAACCTCCGCGTCTTACAAGAGGAGTTGGAGTAATAAGATTGTTCCGCCCTCGAACTACGGGAGAATCTACAAGTGTAAGGAAAAGAACGAAAATATTCTAAGCAGCATTTCATTCCTTGCTCAAAATAAAGAAAATTTGAGGAATTTTTTTTAATAATTTGTATTTTAGTTATGGAATACTTATTTCTTTTGTTAACATTTGCTTAGATTTATTTAATAAATTTTAAATTAAAGTTATGATACATAGCTATTTTTAACGCCGTAGGATTCCGTCGTTTCTTCCACAGTACTGTTTCATTTTTAAGTATATCAGCAATTTAAAAAATATTGATTAGAATTAGAGGCAATTAGAACAAGTAATATAAATAAAAAAATTTGAAGTCAATTCTTACTTATGTCAACAAAGAAATTTTTTATTTTATTTACTTTTTATTAAATAGTTACATTGAATATAAATATGTACATACATATGACAGAATCACAAAATTAAGTGACAAAATAGAAAGCTATTTTCCTTGCAATTTTCCATTTTCCTTTTTATATATGGTGTTGGGCGATTTTTTGTGTGTTTTTGTTTGCTACTATTTATTCAAAAATTTAATTTTTATTCTAATAAAATAGTATATAGAAAAAAACAAATCACATTCTCAGAAATTAGGCTATCCTTGATGGGATTTTAACTCACGACTTTTGGATTAGAATTCCAACGGGCTATCTTTTGCGCTACAGGGACACAACGAATGATTTTATTTTCTATATATGCTGTTGGGCTATTATTTTTATTTGTTATTACTTATTCATTTCTTAATTTAATTAATGAATTAATATTTTTAAAAAATGTATTAACTCCAAGTGTCATCCACTACAAGTTAAAAAAATTGTATTTGAACTTGAATGGATGAATAGAAAGTATTTGATTAAAGATAGAAAATTTGTTGAGCAAGATATATATATATATATATAGCAAGTGGAATGTGGAATATATATAGAGAGAAGCAATTGGTTTCTTTGCATATTTAGTTAATAATACTAAGGATTGAAATTGCATAGAGGTGATAATGGCAAGGTCTAAGATTGGAGAGATTCAAATTTTTAAAAAATCTTCAAGTTGATTTTGGTTCTATTATGTTATTTTAGAAAAGGAATACCATAAACGGAATGCAAATCAAGCTGCTCTAATAATATTTCCTATTTCCATGGACGGAGGGCTGTCAGACTTTAGTGAACATAGAAGATACATTCTCAGAACGTTCGAGAGATATTTCTTTGTTTTCGACTTATCATATCAACTCATCCTTTTTTTTTTCTTGTACTTAAAATTTTGTCTGATGCAGAAACATTGTTTGTTAAATTAAAAATATTTTGCAGCTTGTCCAAGTAATACTCTTAAGGTTATCTTTGCATACGTTTAAAGATGCCGTAGCCTAGTATTTAGGGACACAAACTCGTGGTTGGCGTGTCATGAGTTCGAGCCTTGTGCCGCTGAAAACCTCCCATGTAGAGGGGGACGCTGCACGTTAAATCTGTCGAGGCTCAAATGTGACCCCGTTGGTGTGGTACAGAAGTTAGGAGAGGGAAGTACTAGCTCAGGTAACGTCCTTCTCACTTGAATGTAGTTCAAAATTACAATTTCCATCACTACTAGCCCTAGTATTGCACTAGAATGTCACGTCAACAAGGATTCACTCGTGCATGATATTAAAGGATTGAACCTGAATCGGAAACATTTCTTTAGAGACAAAAGTACTGGAACATTAATATAAAATTTTACGGCTTTTAGCTATCCTATAGAAACAATATATTTTACCACTCGTTTTTGTCTGAGTTGATCAATTTTTTTTTTCTGGGACAAAATGTGTTTCACATTTTTTCTTCTATATTGTAATGCTAAATATACTATCCTTTTATATGTGAAAATGAAAATTTGATTATTTTTTGAATATTCTGAAACAATAAAAACGTTATATTATAATGAGATGTGTGTGTGTGTTACAATGTTGCAAATTTTCATTAAAATTGAGTCCTTTTTCTTTTTGAAAATGTGTGTGCTGGATGTTTAGTTCAGGCTCAAGTAAATTAAATGAACACACACTTAAGCTACGAAGCCTCGGACCAATCTCGGTATCTGAATTCGTAATTTGCATTAAATTACGAATTAATTTCAATTTCAGTCAGGCATGTTCGAAACAACTAAGTTGTATTTGACTTGTTCTTGCTCGAAAACAATTGTTGAAAACTATATAGCAGCGTAAGAACTTACAAACAACTGCAATAAAACGAAATAATAAAAGCGTCACAATCTTAAAATAAAAATTTGAAAATCTAGGAACCTCTTGATGCATTGTTCTAGAATTTCAGTTCCGAGTCGATTCTGTTTCCAGTGTTGCGATTCCCTGCGAGAGTCCACTCGAGAACAAAGAGCTCCTCCGCCCAATTAAGTGCCTCTCCCAATAAAAGATTTCTTTCCCCTCCCATTCATTAAGTGGAAGGGATTTGCGGTTTCCTCTCCACTATTGGGCAGATTAAAAAGGGAAGATCCGGGGGAAGTCCTGCTTCGGTAGAGAGAGGGGAAATGAATAGGGAACTCTTTGTTTCACTGGACGAAGGGATGTAATGGAGTGTGAGGACGACACCTAAGGGGATGTGTTCTCGTAAAATTCGAGAGATCACCCTCCTCTTTTGTAATCTAATGTATTTTATTTTTATCAATTTAGGTTCATATTTTTTAAGGGATGGATTTAAAATTTCTGACACATTTGTTACCTCTCTTGTAAATCCTCTTTCGCCGAAATGTTGATAAATATAGATGTTACAATATTGGGGATGTTCCATTTTTTTTAAAAATAATAAATGATAGTTTAAAAAACTAAAAAACACACACTTTTATTTTAGATCGTTCTTTTGTTTGCTGTATTTGTATTAACCATGAACATTTTCACTTTAGGGTTGTAACTTAATCTTTTATTCGCCAAATCTGGAATTAGTCGCCAAATCTGGAAATGGGAAATCATTAATCTCGATTATCCTGATCAGGACAATGGAATAAAATTATTTAATTATTGTATTGTCATTGGTCCTTGACAATTGTGCAAAATTTCGAATTAATCTGACCTTTTAAAATAGGTAAAAATCGAGTTTCAAAGATTCCGTTACATACAGGGGAAGCTAATATAAGTATGTTAAAAAAGAAGGGCATATTACATTGCCTATATAACATCTACAATTTTTTTTTTCGAAAAAAAAAATAAACGTTCACACTAATTATGTTTTGAAATTTTTGCTTTCAAACCGTATAAAACAATTTAAAGATCACATTTTTGCTCATTGTTTGATTTGAAGAGTTAGTTGAATGAAATTTCTTACGAGTACAGAGAGGATGGTTATAAAAATAACTATCAAATGGAAAGTGGTCAAACAGGGGACTATGTCTCAGAAAATACGACAAAGCTAAGCAAAACGAGCCAGATTATGTAGCATTAATAAAAAGTATTTTTTTTTATTTCCTTAAATAAGTAGATATATCATTTATATGAATTTTAACTTCGGAAATGTATAAAATTAACGAGTTTAACTCCTTCAGGTTTAAATAAAGATAAAGCCTCCATAATTGAGCTTGTATGACAAACCTTCATGATCAGTGAATTTCATGTCTGAGGCTCTAACTAACATGCAGGTATTATTATTCATAAGGAATTATTAGATAGTGAATGTCTATTAACATCACAACCTGAGACAACACGAGGCATGAGTGCTATTGATAGCAAACTTCATAATTTTTAACCACGATCAAATGACGAGGATGAATGACACCTGTATATGCACTCCACTCTAACTTCAGACCACGCTAAAGGCAGGAATTTGAGTGACAACAGAATTAACGTGCATCCCCTATCCTTTATGGTGAGTTTACGGTGGCATCAAGACACGAACAAGGGACTCGAAAAACGTTAAACATATGAGGCATGTTCAAATGGAAGTGATTCGAAGTGTCGCATGCGAAAAGTTTTCAATGTACTATCTTGAAACAAGCGTGATAGGGAAAGCGTATGTAAAACGCATGCGTGTGCGCAAGCAGATTTGTGATAACTACATTTATAAGGACGTGGCATTCATTTAAAAATGTCTGGTGTGGGTGCAATTGCATCCAAAACGGATCAGCGAGCTGTAATAAAGTTTTTAACACGGGAAGGGTGTACGTCGGTGGATATTATTAGTAGAATCTTGCTATGTGCAGTGACACGTGAGGGTCGAAGTTCACGTTCGCCAGATTGGTAATAGTGTTTAGCGATGGTCGACTAGAGACAATAGATTTGGCTCACAAGGTTGTGACAGAGAAGCGATTACGGACATTGGCACTGCAATCAAGGGAAATCGACGTCGAAACATTCGTGATGTCGCAAATGAGTTCAAAGTTTCCATCGGTACTGTTCCCAATATTGTCACCAACATTCCGAAGTATCGAAAAGTTTGAAAATCCCTTAAGAAGTGGAATGTCCTGGAACATTTAGCTTACTGTCCAAATCTGTCGCCTTGAGAGTATCACATCTTTTCACAGATGAAGAAAAACCTAATGGGTCAACTATTTCTTTAAGTCTAAAGCTCTGAATTGGTTCCATGATCAACCAACATTGTTCTTCATGAACGAAATTCGTACCCTCCCTTACTAAGAAATGGGAAGCCTGCCTAAACGCCATGGGTGTGATTTCTTTTAACAAATTTTGTATGATTTCACTCATTAAATATCGTTGTTTCTATCTATGTATCTGTCTTTACGTATCTCATGAATACACACTTCGAATCATTTTCGTTTGAACACCCCTTATATGCTCGTGACCATGACTATTAGTTTACCACGGTATTATGATTAGTAGATAATGTTGAACGCATACATAAATATATTCCTTTATGCAATATGTGGTTCAGTTCTGAGAGTTTATAATCCAGTAATAGTCTTCATCACACATTTGGCCGATAATTTCAGTTGGATTGATTAGAATTATTTTTGCTACGGAAATGCACAAACAATAGACACTACGAAACTCGTAATTTAAAGCGTTCGTCAGGTGATGAAGATTACAATTAATCAGCTAATTCACATCTTTCTTTATAATTCATTTCACATCATAGAAAGATATAAAGGTTTTGCGAAGGACATAAAATTTCCAGCAGCAAACCACATAATATTATCTGAGAAAAGCTGGGCTCGACTTCACGATTTAATATGAATGTCGATGGTGACCACAATCATAATCACAAGATCAATGCTGCCAGTACTCTGTAAAGCAACGCTAGGGTTATTGGCGGCGTATCTCGTAATTTTGAATAACTTTGAATAACTTTGACAAGGGAAACATACGAGGTATTGCGCTCCTCTTTCCTAACTTCTTCATCATGCCAATGTGAAAATTTTGAGCCACGATAGATTCGGTGTGCATCTGCTTCTCTACACGTTGGGTGTTCGGTGGCATACGGACACGAACTGGTAACTCGACCACCTCGGACACTAGTTCATGACCATGACCAATGCACTACCACGGTCACACAAAACTGCCATGATGACGACCGATGATTACCACAGTCATGGCTATAGGATTGATCTAATCTGGCTAAATATCTAATATACATATTCAGTAAAGCGATTAAACTATAAGGCGACACATTAGTTCAAAACCCCCTAAATTAAGTTTACAGTATATAATAATTGCCTTTTTCCTTAAAGTTCCTTTGATCTGA